AGGAAGACCTGGAGTAATACGGACAAGTACACAAGAGGTAAGACAAATGGGACTAGCTCAGTTGGTACACCCATGGACTGTTGAAACTTGAAATACAGACTCGAGCTCGAATCCAGAGGGAGCTAGATAAATTGAATTGAAAAATTGTAAAACAAATTTAAATTTTAAAATAATAAAAAAGGAGATAAAAATTTATCATAAAAACAAATATTTATTTTTTCGTGGAGGGCAAACGGAAGGAAGCGTGACGGGTCCTTCGGCCAAATGGAAGGAAGCATGAGGGTGTTCACTGTTCTTGTTATATATATTTCTGACTTGCAGGTGGAATAGGAACCGGACTGATGCTCACCAGAATGGATATGCAGCCAGGGCCATAAGGACCTGTTTTTTTCTTTCCAAATAATAATAATAATATTATAATAATAAATAAGTAAATAAAAATTGCAGAGTCGAAGCAGACACAATTCTGGGGAAGGGCAAAATAGCTAACATCATCGTCAGCGGGAAAATCAGATTCTGCTGTTGGTGGCAAAGCAAGAAGGCAGCAAGAGTTTCATCTGGAGGGAACGTGTTCGAAACCCCGCCCGACATGTCTAGTTTAGCAACGGGCTCTGCATAACAAAAAAGAGACATGATGACTAAGGAGGGAGAAAAAAATATGAGTCCCTGAACGAGGAGAGAAACACAGCAGCCTGCCATGTCATCTTTTTCTGTTACGACATCCATGGTTATTTAGTATTTACTATTTAGTATCTATTTAGTATTTACACATCCAGAATCCAGTTACAAGGGAAAACCAATGGGTGTAGGTCAGTTGGTACTGTAATGAACCCAGTCTAGTCTCGCTGAGAAGCGAGTCGGCAATGCAATACAAGTCCAAGTCAGAAGCCAGTGTGCATCATGAAGTCTCCAAAGTCAATTACAAGTCCATGTCTCGATCATATCATTCATATGCACAATTCAGACGCATTCCCGACACATCAAAGAAGAGCATGAGCGAAAGAGATAGAGGACAGTGAGGACAGAGAAGAGGAGGATGACAGGAGAGAGTCCCAATAAGTCATGTATGTCCCTCCCTCTCTCCCTTCCAACTTATACTTCGCGGTTCTCGCATATTGCCACCTCAGCAATGCATGTGCATGTTCCCCTCTAACGTTCCTTTGACATAATCATTGTGCAGATCATTACAGGGCCCCTGTCCTCCTTCCATGTCAGCAATAAGATATACGGAGGAAGGTGCATCACTTCCGCACCTTCGTGAAGATGAGCAGCCGACCACACGTGTCGACACCAGGTAAGTCCAGGGGTAAGCTTTCCCCCCTTCTCCTATCAGTCTCACAGCCCTGATCCTCCTCCTCCTCCTCGCCAATCCTCATCACCTAGTCTACAGCCATGGCGGCTATGGCCGCTCCAATGGAATCTCCCTCTAGGCTGGTGCCCTCCCGCAGCATCTGGCGCCAGCATCACACTCCGGCAGCCTCACATAGCAGCATTAGTGTGCAAGCAAGCGCAAGGCAGAATGCCCTCCCCAGTGGTCTGGCTGACCTTATGTAGCGAGCATTGACTGGGGTGGACCAGTCTCCCCTTGGACGGTGTCGACGCTTCAGATTTGCCAGATCTTCACGGCCAGGATGCAGCCTTGAAACAGCAGTACCTTTTCCCAGTCGGGACTGGAATCTTCTGGATACCTGCCGACAACCATTGATGTCCATGTGATCTATGGCTGAGACTGACTACGGGGTTGACTTTGACTTTGACTTTGACTTTGGGCCTGCCTTTCCCATGCTGGGTCTGACTGTTGATGTTCCACGAGTCAACTAACTCACGCGGGGCTTCTGGCCGCTGTTTTTGACTCAGGCGTTGATACCCCCTTGACCCTAGGCCCTCTCCCAGACATTTCTCAGACTTGGGATGCGACTTTTGGCTTTCTTGCCTTTGACCGAAAGTGAAGACCCTAGCCCGCGGCTGTATGTCTATGAGCTGAGTTTATTACAGTACACCCATGAAGTGTTGAAATATGAATCAGACCCAAGTTAGAATCCAGATGCAAACAGATGAACAGAATAAAATAATGCTGAATTACCTTGGGGGCAGCCAGTTCAATGATGATATCTCACGGCTGTAGCCCTTTACAACAACAAAAAAAAGTTGTGAGGAACAAGCTCTCACGGGGCCCTATCAGACATCACATGTTCTGGGCAAAGGCCCCCAGCAAGCCAAGTGCCCGCCCTAAGTGAAGGTGGGCCTGAATATTCGTCAAAGGCCAAAATTCGACATTTCCATATGTGGGTATTCAGGCTCCTGCAGCTCGCCAGTTGGTTGAGTGCACGTGTGAGCCTCACTAAGCTGTGTCGTACAGTTAGCCCAGGTCTTGACAGTTGCGCCTGGGCACATTCACACAAAGCAGGACCGATACATTGGGAAGCAGGCCATCGGCCTAAGGAAAAGTAGAACTGCCGACGCACCTACCTGGGAGCCCTGCACAGATGCAGCAAACAGCCCAAGTCCGGAGACTCAGGCCGTGCCCAACTGAAAAGGGGCCCAGGCCCTCAACTGTAGTCTCGGGCCTGGGCGCAGGGACTGAGGCCCAACCGGAAGCTACTGGAATCTTCCAGCCAGGCCACACGCAGCATCCAGCCAGGAGCCAGGGGGTAATGCGGGTGATCTGGTGGTCTTCAGGGAAGGAGGCGAGTGTGGGGTTATCAAGGTCTGATTGAGGGTGGCGAGATACGTATCTGGTGCATGAAGAGAGGTCGGCTATGATGTTGACAGTCATGTACATTGGTCGTCATGTACATTGGTCTTCGAGAGTCGAAGTGAGCCTGTTGCGTGAACACAGCTGTAGGTAGCATAGTCGGGTAGAGTAGGCTAGGGACTGGGCGCCAGACAGAGAGGAGCGACTTTGGATACTGTGTTGGTGTGGCCTACGGGCTTGAACATTGGCTCATTACTTCATTGTATTGCTCTATATGGATGGTTTCTCGGTGCATTTGTACTCTCTGCATGGACACGACTACTTGGACATCTGTGTGATTTCGCAACTTGGTTTTCTGTGTATCGTTCACACTCATATTCCTTGCAAAAAGGATACTAAGGAAAATATCTGGTGGTCGTTTATCCCACGCATTCATGCATATACGCCATTCACGATTGTATAGTCAGATCGGCAGCAGAAAAGTAAGGAAAGAGAAGGAAGGAAAGAAGAAGAAGAAGAAGAAGAAGAAGAAGAAGAAGAAGAAGAAGAAGAAGAAGAAGAAGAAGAAGAAGAGAAGAAGAAGAGGAAGAGAAAGAAGAAGAAGAAGAAGAAGAAGAAGAAGAAGAAGAAGAAGAAGAAGAAGAAGAAGAAAAGAAGAAGAAGAAGAAGAGAAAGGAAAGAGAGAGAAAGAGAAAGAGAAAGAGAAAGACAGAGTGAAAGAGAACAAAGAAGACGAGTCGACAGGAAAGGAAGGAGACCACGCGCCAGAGACCATAGACCACACCCGAGTCATCACCAAAAAAATCTTTGTGGTTACCTCCCGAGCACAAACGAGGTTCACAGAATCGACGCTGCACATGGAACCTCAATACTGCCGAAGCAGTATGCTGGCGAAGTGATTGTTCGGTTCCCGTTTCGGTCGGTCGCTGACCCGACCTCTTCAGGAGTCTCTCTACGGTTCCCGTTTCTGTCGGTTGCCGACCCGACCTCTTCAGGAGCCTTTGCTGGCTCAAGAATATCTGGTGGTCCATCACGGGTGAGAGGAGTCTATACAGCAGCTGTCTCTTATACACATCTAGATGTGTATAAGAGACAGAGGGAAAGGTGTCCGGAAGAACAGGGGTGAGCAGTGGTGAATCCTTCCCTCCTTGGAAGTCATAAATGCCATTGTCTCAATAATTCTCGACCATAGCAGAAAGAAGCATTGTGTGGGGGGGCTGTTATGTAAGGGTCCAGCAGGTTTCCAGACTATACTATAAGGTTCCTTTTTTTTTTGCAGGGAAAAAAAAAGGAGCCATGCAAAGTTGCAAACACTTCCCAATAAGAGGGCCCTTCTGTTCCTTATATATACTTTAAAAATTTGGAGAATTTTGGACCATTTCTTGATTTATGTTTGTCATCCTTGCACAGGAGGCCATGCTAATCTTCTCTGTAACAATTTAACGGATGTCCCGAAGGACAGGGACCTTCTGTTCCTTTTTTCCTTTCTTTTTGACATCGATTAAGAAAAACCAAAACCGCGTCCTTCCTGACTTCCGGTTAAAATTGGAACAACACAGAGAAGATATTAGCATGGCCCTTGTGCAAGGATCATGACACACATAAATCAAATAATGATTCAAATTTTAGGGGAACAAAAAAAAAAAAAAAAAAAAAAATCCCCCTTTCAGTGCTTTCACTGCTAAGGTTCGTGGATAAGGAAAGTGATGGCACGTTATGACTTACACAGGGGAAAAGAGTCAAAAGACTGAAAAGCTAGGCTACCAGAGTGGCCCGGGTCCACTTGCCCGGCCGGACCAAAAAGATATAAAAATAAAAATTAATTTTTTATTTAAAATTTTAATTTAAATTTGGTAAAGAATTTCGATGTGACCCCAAGGCAAACGTTGTTCAGTTTATTTGTCTGCATAACATAGTTTTTTTGGGTTTTTTTTTTTTTTTTTTTTTGGCTGGGACCTTCCCTGGTCCTTGCACGGCCGGGCCGCGAGGGAAAACAGGGTGACCCAGGCGGCCCGGCTGGTAGCCTAGCTGAAAAGCACATTTGGGGGATCATCAAGGGAATTGAGCGGATGTCCCGGATGTCCCGGATTTGGTTATTACTCCACTTGGTTGGTGGATAAGTAAAGTGATGGCACGTTATAACTTATATAGGGGAAAAGACTGAAAAGTACATTTGGGGGATCAGCAAGGGAATCGAGCGGATGTCCCGGATGTCCCGGAGTTTTTTTATTATTACTCCACTTGGAAAGTAGAAACTTAGCAAGAGAATTGAGCGGAGTGGATGAAAGATGTGATTTGCATGTACCTAATTCGGTGGTCCACAAAGCTGCGCCATGAACTGCAATTGCTGCCACGTTGAACAACCCAGTGGTGTTGTTGTCTCTGTCATGATCATCAGCAAGGACATCACAAAGCTCATCATGTTCCTGATCTGGGATCAAAAAGTCCAAACCGATCGGAAGACCAGGTGCGTGAGAACCACTTTTCAAATCCTCTGCTGCCCCCTTGAATCTGTCATCATCCACTCCAAGAAATAAATGTTGGAAACCACCTGAATGACTTGGCGGGACCGGCTTGGTCCCATGTAGTGACGAGTCCCTTGGCAAGATCAGGTCAGTCCCATGTAGCCCTGAGTCCCGGGGTGAGAAACTACGACAACTGGATCCTGAGCTCCTCCTATCATAGAGATTCTCACCTCGAGGCTTCCTCCCTGTGAATGTCCGTGTCATCGGAGCAGTTCCATCGGCAACAAACGAACACGTTTCGTCACTGAAAGACGGGCTTGTCCGTGGTCTCTTGGAGGTTTGGCTGCGTCGTCCTTGCTCAAATTGACTTCTTCGTTTCGAAAAGTCACTGCCGGGACCACATTCATGTCTCACCTTCTTCCGTTCAATGGGATAGCTGTTGGAGCTGGAGACCTCTGCGATGCCCTCTTTCTCGGAGACCCCTGCTCCTGCCAACCCAGATCCAAAGCTGAACCCATGTGCCACTGCTTCAAACCAGTCCCTCTCCCCAGTTGCCTGATCACGTCCTTCGCCTTCTCCATCTTCATGCCGTTTGCCTTTGACATCATCATATTGTTCGAGCAAGAAATCCAGGTGGTCTTCTTGGCTCCCTGCCACTGCTCCTTTTTTGTCTGTGACTTCAAATCTTTTCAGCGAATCTTCAAACCAGTCGATGTTCAAGGGGCGACTGCTACTGCCGCCGTGCTCCAATCGTATAGTTTCCGGAGAAGCACCCAGTCCCTTCCGCCCACTTTCTCCAGTGCTTATCCTTCTGAAAGATTTCTTTCCCTGCATGAAGTCATCCTCATGGACCTCATCCATATTTCCAAGTACCCAGCGGTTCTCGAGGCTCCTCGTTGCACTCCTGGTTGAAGGTACTCTGCAACTGCTGTTGCTGCTGCTGCTGTTACGCTCCGGGAATGCCGACCTCTTTCTCTTTAGTGCCTCACTGCCAGATCTTGATTGGCGAGTCCCTGGGAGAACTGATGCTGGAGAATTTGATGACCAATCAAACAACAAGAGATAACATTGTCCCATCAGGAGGGAAGCTTTTTCTTTTTTGTTTCCCTTTGAGCCTTGTGTTACTTCAAAATTTGGACGGTATGAGTCATCACCCTGTTTCCCACCACACCTTTCCTCGGGATATGATAGCTCCAAGAGTCCAAGAAAAGAAGATAAAAAAAAGGATACGATCGATAGCTCATACACATTGTCCCATGTCGTCCTTTTCACAAAGAATACATCAGGTGCAGTTTGTCTGTTCCGATCATTTTAATATCTGATCCGTTTGCCAAGTGGGCCATTTGCAATTTGGAGCTTGGAAAAAAATAAAATAATCAGAGATTATCAGATGCGAGGCACAAGCCCTCGGTACGCCCTACTGGACCCCGATATCAGCAAGGTCGGCCGCCCTAAGTGAAGGCAAGCCCGACCTAGGCCTATTTTCGACTGCCACGCAACTGGGGAAAATTCAGGCAGTTGCGCAGCGCCCGTTCGTTGAAGGCGCCCAGGCCCAGGCTCGTGTGTAATTGAGGCAGGCCCTGGGCCAGATACGTAACATGGACCGAACACAGGCTGCAGGCAGTTGGGCACGAGGAACCACCACAGGCCCTGGGCCTGATTCGTTCGGACTGAGGCTCAGCCTCTCAGGTCCTACCGGAAGCTTCTGGGCCGGGGCCCAGTGCAGCCTAGCCGCACGCAGCAGGCAGGCCACTTCCATTTAGGAAAGGGCCTGCCTCCAGATTGGGCATTCAGGCGCTGGCTGCATGCTGCGCAAGTGCTGCTGCGCTGCACTATGCTGGAGGGGGGGCACGGTGGTCCTTGGGTGCATTTGGCATCTGTGAGTGGAGGATGGAGATTGTGAGTGATACGAGAGACATACCTGGTACTCGAGGCGAACGGCATTGGCCGAGATCTGCTCATACTTCGGGGAGCTGTTGACGTCACCAGCGGCATTGTAGATAGGCTAGATAGGATCTGCCATTTGTAGTCTGGGCGCAGAGCTCCAGATAGGATGTCGACATTGGTTCTTTGTTGATGATGATGTGACTATTCCAACATTGTCACTTATGAGCTTTTGCTGTGCTCTTATTTGGTGGAACTTGTGTTGCAATTCTGCTTTTGGTTTGAGGTCACGACTATCTGGTCTCATATGTATGCTACTGCTTGGTTTATGAAGTTCGCTATCGCTCATTTTTGTTACATGCCCAGATGGGCGATGTACATAATAACCAAGGATCCGCAATGTGATGAAAAGGACTGAATGGACAATGCAGTGCAAGTGAAATCTCAACGAGCAGTGTACATTCTGATACATGCAATATGGTGCTTTACAGCGCACTGGAAGACTTAGATAAAAGTCCTGACCTGACCGGGACTGACCTCTCTCACGTAGTACAAGATAGCGAAGCAGAATGCTAGAATACTAATGACTAGCCCAATCAATGTTTCAATGCAGACCGAACATACATCATGCTCATCACAAGGTGTGAAGGGGCCTGGCGCTATACACAGGAAGGAAGCACCAGGTCCAGACATACACATACGAAGAGGAGGGGATCAGACGAAGAAGAGGGGGAGAGATGGGAATGTCGTCAACACCAAGTCTTTGTCACCAGTGACTGAAATCCGAACTGAGGTCGGACGTCGCAAGGAGGCGAACGCGCCGCTCCGGTTAGCGCGACCGCTAACGCAAACACGCTCCCTGGGACCCGACGTTGAACGCGAAGGCGCGAAAACACCGCGCGACTGCGCGGAAACGAATTTTCGAACACGAGGCGAGACGGAGGTGGGAACGAAACACGCTTCGCCATGCCCTAGGGCATGGCGTACGGAAGTGTAGGGCAGGAGGAATTAAGCGAAGGGAGAAAAGGGAGAGAAGGGAGGGGCAACGAGACATAAGGACAAAGAAGGAATGATGTTGAAGTGAGTAGAGAGAAAAGACAGCAAGGCGGGGAAGAGGCAGCAAAAGTGGAGAAAAGGGAGAGAAGGGAGGGGCAACGAGACAAAAGGACAAAGAAAGATCGATGTTGAAGTGGGCAGAGAGAAAAGACAGCAAGGCGGGGAAGAGGCAACAAAAGTGAAAGGTCAGATGAGACGAGCGCAAGGCGAATCCTCCAAGGGTCATCACGAAGGGAGAGAAGCGACAGGAAAAATAGGAAGGTAAGATTTTTCCTCTTATGTGCAACGAAGACAGCAAGTAAAGGCGAAAAGGTCTGAGACGGACACAACGAGGAGAAAAGGTCTCTTCTGAAAACGCGAAGACAGCGGCTCGTTTTTTTCTAGAAAAGGAGCAATCATTATTGGTCCAAAAGAGACTACATTCCAACCGGATTTTCACCGGTTTTAGCAATAGACCAGCAGGCGTCACGAAGGGAAGCGCTCACTCGAACATTCGCCCAGCGGATCACTACGTTCAGACATCACCACTTTACGACAGAAATTTACTGTCCAAAACTTCCCACCTTTAGTAAGAGGATCGCAGACCCCATCATTAGGACAGCCAAACACTCACCGCTTCCGTATGCCCAATAACGTACACCGCCTATACTAACACAACACCGCACCGACCCTTCACCCTTCACCAACACCCTCTCACCCACCCCTTCACAGCCCACCCTCTCTTCTCATCGCCCGATCCTACATCCGTTCAGGAAACCACCCGATCAAAACCTTTGTTTTTTTATTCAACAAACTACTTCTCGACAACTAAAAGCCTACGAGTAACGACAAGAGACGAACGGAACAGAAACAGGACAAGAGAGAGAAAGGACGAGTCACACCAAGACAACGAAAGAGGACGCCGCCCAAGGAAAAGAGCAGAAGGAGAGGAAAGAAGAAGAAGGGGAGAGACAAAGAGCAGAATAAAAAGAAGAGAGAAAGGAGAGGAAAGGCACCTTGTCTTTTCGGACATTCGTTCGAAGTACTCAATCCACCCCAACATCAGCGTATTTTTCAACTTCACAACTATTACCAAACATTATTTGATAAGTATTATTATATTTACTAACTAAGTAGTATTATTCAAAATTGTTAATTAACCTTCAGCTCCATCCTCACGCCATAAAGCACAGGATAGGAGACACTGCACGATCCGCAAATTTTCGGACAATATTTAGAACTAATCAATCAACCTCAATATCAGCATTCTTTTCAACTTCATATTTATTACCAAACATTATATGTTAAGTATTAATTATTTTACTAATTAGTTAGTATTATTTTACATATTAACTAACCATCATCATAATCCTCACGCCCTGAAGCCCAAAATAGGCGACCCCACGATCCGCAAGCCTTTTCCAGATCAACGGGACAGCATCCGTTACGTGGAAGGAACTCAACGGGAACAGTGCAGGAACTGACCAGCGTACACCCTACCCTCACAGGAGCCTTCACTTCACCCAACAGCACCACCAGATCAAAGATCAGGCTCAAGATGGAAGGCATGGGAATCGAAACGCAAAACTGGTTAGCAGAACAGACGAGAACAACGCTCATCAAAACAACCAAGCTCATTGATCACGGGGGGAACAACAAAGAAGAAGTGGTGATCTACGAATGTCCAAAAGAATTATCAATCAAACAGGAGGAGCTCCACAAAAAACACGCCGTACTTTTCACCTTCTCCAAAAAGAGTCAAGAGCTGGACAGACAAGCCAAACTGAAATGGATTTGGGAGAAATTGAAGAGCCTGGAACCCGTTCAGGGGCAGGATCCCAAAGTCTCCTTTCACCCAAGGACAAGGAACGTCATCATGGTTCTGTGTATGGAGGAGGCACTTGCCACGTTCCTCAAAAACAAATGCTTTACCTGCAATTCATCAGTTGTCACGGTGCATCCATGGAAGCAAGCATCGAACTATTAACAAACACCATTCAGATACAGACAGGAATTGATAAAAAAACATTTTTGGATTCAATCGACAACGTAGCTGAGGGAATGCACGGCAGCATAAAAGAGAGAGTGAGAATGGAATACGGGCACTTCAAAGAAGCTCACTAGATTGTCTCAACCCCGGACTTCCTCACTCCGCAACACAATCAGATGACAGTGGTTTTTGGAAACGGGAGGCAGCCCAACTCCGTTCATCCCGGAAGAATGGTTCTTCTCGCAGGAAAACAAAGTCATTCGGATAACAGTTTCCAGCAAGAACAACCCCCTTTGCTTCAAATGTAGGCAAAGAGGACATTTGGGTACAGACGCTAATTGTCCGAAGACAAAGGAGAGTGCAAAACCGAAACAACTCAAAACAGCTAACCTGCAAGAGGTACCAGGCAAAGCAGGATACTGGTACGTCCCGGGAGCCCAGTACGCAGGCTGGGTCTTCAACGATAATCTCGACACCCCAGACTGGGTCTGGATTATCAAGGGAGAACCGTCCCCCAAACCTGACGTCTATCCCCCATTTGACAGCAGATGGCAAAAGTTGAAAACAGAAAAGAAATCGCCCAAATGCTTCACAAAGGACCAGGTCATAGACGTGGAGTCGTTGAGGCAAGAAATTTGGGAGAGAGATTTAACAGCAGATCTGCAAGCAATACAGGAAACAACCGAAAAGCAATGGGTGGAAGCAGTAAAGCGGAGACAGGAAAAGAGAAGGGAGGATCAACCAAAACAAAGAACCTACTCCAGAAGAAATCAGAAGGGTCAGAACAAATACAATCAGGGACATGCCATGGGAGAGGACAGACCAGATGAGAACATGGAAGGGATAATAGAAGGCGCAGCACACGACGAGGGAGAAGGAGCTCAGAACCCGAACGTGGGAGGAAAGAGGAAGCTCAGCGATAGACTGTATGACAAATAATCATCATACGAGGAACAAGAATGGGGGGAACCCAGTTTTCCGTGGGCCGAACAAGGGGAAAGTGAACTCCTCAAGTGCATCCAGATCTACGAAAAAGTAAGACAAGACAACTTTGAACTACAACTGATTTTCCACAGAGAAGAACAGAAGAACAGACAGAAAGATACAGCAACAAACCCG